TTTCTTATAAGAGACCTAAGTTTAAATTGTTTAATTCTAGTACTAATTGAACACGACTTTGAAGGAAATTGAAAAAGAACAGTGTGGCTCTTGATGTTGTTAACTTTGGTGAGGAAGATAAGGGAAAACCCAAGAAGCTTGAGGCACTGGTTGTTGCTATGAATAATATTGATAGAAGGCATGTTATGCATGTTCCTCGTGGTCCAAGTGCTCTTTTTGATGTGCTTATCATGTTATAATGTACTTTTCCAGTTCGTGTGCTTTTCACTAGAATACGGTCCTATATCTTATTTTGAACAATTACTTATTTTGCATAATTCAGCATGTTCATTACAAGAATTGTATCCTATGCTTTTTACAGTGGAGCGAACATTGATTGATAACCAAAGAGATGACTTTGAGGACATGTTACGTGTGTTGACTTTAGAAGAAGCCATATTAAAGAAACTATGAGTTTTTCCTTGGATAATGCTGATACAGCTAGAGAGTTATGCTGATTTTAGTGTAATTGATTTTTCGGCTCGATGAATAAGATCTCGAGCTAAGTAATGCCTTTTAAGCTATCAACTTCATTTGAATTTAAGATTGGCTCTCGAATAACCTGGGCAATGAGGCTCAAATTGTTAATTATGTATTCATGTTCAAGACTATCCATTTGATACCTTATATTTTTTGTAGGTAGTAGATGGCAGTCCAATAAACCTGGACAAGGTACGCGATTAATTTCATGGATTCAGTCCAATAACACGACTAAATAAAAGAAAAAACATAAGAACTATTGTTTGTTTAGAAAAAAGAAACATAGAATCAAAGCATACCATCTTGAGGGTTACTAAAATTGACATAAGTTGAACAAATTGCCCAATTGATACAGAGATACTAGGGAATATAATTATAATGAAGTTACCACTTACCACTTACCAGCTAGAAGAACTGAAGAAGCCCCTGTCGCAGAAGAAGCCCCACTGCCCCAGGCCCCCAGTCGCAGACGGCAGACCGCAGACCCAGTGAGGCAGTGACCCAGTCCCAGAGGCAGACTACCACTCCACGTCTCCACTACCAGCAGGAAGCAGTAAAGGGCGAAAGGGCGAAAGGCTTCAAACCGCAGCCGGAACTCTATTTAGGGAAAGGGCGAAAGGCTTCAAAAGAAAAATAGTTGAAGTAGGGAAGAATAAGAGTGGGAGACTGCCCTTGCCTCTGGAAAACACCACTCCGGCTCCGGCGTCGGTGAGAAGAAGTGAAGAACGGTGAGGAATGAGGATTATTGGAGAGTTTGGAGTTCGAGTTCGAGAGATTGAGAGCTCAGAGCGGGAAGAGAGTGATTTGTGGACGTGATGGTGTTGGTTTAGGTTAGAATTGGGCCTCCAATTGGGTTGGGCCTAATCTGAAATTTAAAAAAAAAAAAAAATTTGGGCCAAAATCTGAGGCCCCCTCCACGTCTGGGCCTGAGGCGGCGGCCTCATTCGCCTCGCCTCAGGGCCAGGCCTGGCAGTGGTAACAGTAGATGACAACGACCAGTGTTGTGCGAGGTCTCGGATCAGATCATGTAGTGGGTCTGGGTTTGTGGATAGTGGGCTAGGGTTTATGGATTGTATAACTTGTTTGGGGTATGAAATAATTGGGTTGTCTATGACTGCTTTGGGATTGACGTATTCGATGGGCAAGGAATGAATTTTGTGAAATTTTAGATAAATGGATTTTAGNCTTTATTTTGCATAGAAATTGTTAACAAAAGTGAAAATTCTTTTTGCAATAGTTGATAAAATTTGTTACCATTGCTAAAAAAAAAAAAGATGGAAATTACTTTCCCACCTAATAGGTGGAAAAACAAATTCAAAAAAATGTGCATAAAAATGATAAAATGGTTATACCTAGAAAAGGTAAGAAAAACAAAAACCAAAAAAAAAATTTGCAATCAAACACCATTAATTGGGTGAAGTTAGAAAACATTTTCTTTTTCCACCTAATTTTCTATGCTGTCAAACACACCCTAAGAGTAAATTGATGGTCTAATATAGAGAAATCAAACCAGACATGTTTAGTATATTGAATTAAATAAGATTGGATACAATTTAAGGACCAAACACAACAGTCAACATACATACCAAGCATGTCACAATGAACATTGACGAACAGACGGAAAGATAAGAACCTTGTTACATTCAAAAAAACAACTAAAGGGGAAACACAATTTAGAAATTGTCTATTTTCATCGACTGAAAAAAAAACAAATTCACTATCACCTTTCCAGCAATGAGATTTTGTAAGCGACGTAAAATTAAAATTCAAAAGCCTAACAATATTATAAATTATCACCCATAAATATCTGAAATTGATTCTACAGGTCTGCTCTTCCAGGATACCGGGGGAAGGGTATGACATCTCTAATGTTCTCCATCCCTGTGGCGAAAAGAATCATCCTTTCAAAGCCTAAACCGAATCCACTGTGCTTCACAGTCCCATATCGGCGCAAGTCAAGGTACCACTCGTATGGCTCGAGAGGTAGACCCATCTCAAGTATCCTGCAAAAAATAACGACAACCCAAGATAGTACACACTGTTAATCATGAAGCCACTAAATAAACAGTCTAGACTATGTAGACAAGTAAAAAAATAAATTGCTTTAATTATTTGTTAAGAAACCTCTTTTGGTGTGTAGAATACAACTATTTTCAGTTGTTATTTTTGTTCTCATAATCGTGTAGTGGAGGTAGCTTTCAAAAGATTTTCTACTCTATTGTAGTTAAGAGGTAGGGTGGTGCGTCCCCCTCCCTTTTGTACTATCTTTTCTTATTCAACAGACTTGTAAGCCCCCCCGCCCCCCACTTAGTCACAGATGCATTTATTTCAATAAAATAAAATCAAGCACCATAGCTTTTTGTACCTATCTCTGAGGACCTCATAATTCTCTTCTCTTTGGCTTCCACCAATTAGTTCTCCCACCTGAAAAAGTAAATACAGCCACCATTATTAATAAGACACTCTTCCTCACAAGTTCATTGCACATGAAAGATGAGACAAACAAAAATCTTACCTTTGGTACAAGCACATCCATAGCTGCAACTGTCTTGTTATCTTCATTCACCTTCATATAAAATGCTTTAATTGCTTTTGGGTAGTTATACACAATGACAGGAGCTTTGAATTTCTCTTCAGTCAAGAATCTACACGATTAGGCATGCAACGTGATCAGTAAAGCACCTAGCAAGTCAAATTACAGGCTATTGATGCCAAATACCTTTCATGTTCAGAAGCTAAGTCAATCCCCCATTCTACTGCATTCTCAAACTTCTTCTCTTTAGATGCTTCCTCAAGAATGGAAACTGCCTCTGTGTAAGTAATCCGGTAGAAGTTGGATGAAGCAACCATTTTAAGACGATCAATTGCAGTCTTGTCAATAAACTTAGCCATAAACTCCATATCATCATAGCAATGGTCAAGTAACCACTGGCAGAGAAATTTGACATAGGCCTCCGCACAGTTCATATCATCCTACAAAAGTCATTTCATTGTTGTAATCTCTTGTAACAACAGAGAAGGAATATTAAAAAAGCCTCTAGATTACTTATCACTATCCGATTCATATATTTGTTCGTTACATGTTTCATTTCATAAAACTTAGGGAGCTCATATTTTTGAATACTTAACTAAAAAAATTCCATCAGTAAAAGCAAAAACTTGTACAATCTCCACGCACGTTTTCTTGGGCAATTAGTAAGCTTAAGAGCAACCAGGAATATTGAAGACCTAATTGATAACAGATCACGAATCAAAATAAATTGCCTATATAAACATTATAGATAACATGTGGCACAATTAACAACTGAGAGTCAGGTATATAATTATTGCTCCAATTCTAATCTTAACACACTCCAAAAATAATTGAATCCTCCTTGCATCAGTAACTAATTTTTCCAGCCCAGCTTTTTGGAAACAGCGTCAGACAATTAATGATGCCACATCAGTTTCTATATTTTAGAGCATATATGTTGCATCCCATGATATGTAGCTTTTATCTTGCTTTGGCAGTAGGCACTGTAGGAACTATAAATGCTCTAAATTTATGAGTTGAGTCGAATTAAATAGTTTACGACTAAAATACCTTTATATCAGCAAATGCTATTTCAGGCTCCACCATCCAAAACTCAGCAAGATGCCTTGAAGTATGTGAGTTTTCTGCTCGAAATGTCGGCCCAAAAGTGTACACACTACTGAGTGCACATGCATATGTTTCAACTTGAAGTTGTCCAGAGACAGTCAAAAATGCTTGGCGGGCAAAAAAGTCCTCAGAATAATCAATTTTCCCATCCTTCTTGGGGAAACCAGCACTTAGTCTACATCTCTCCCCCAGCTTAAATCTTTCTTGCAGTTTCAAGAGGTTCTCTTTAGCTTTAGAGAGCTCAGCTACAGAAGCACTAATTTCCTCCTTGCTTGCTTTAGAAGATTTAAGTTGAGCAACAGCTTCTCCTTTCTCCTTCACCACAAGCTCAGCAGCTTTAATATCGGCTTCAGAAGGAGCAGGGTTATCTTTCAGCTCCTTCTCTAATTTTTCTGCTTCACTGATTAGGGTTGTAACTTGGAACATCTCGCCAGCACCCTCACAATCACTTGTAGTAACAATAGGGGTGTGCACATAGAGGAAACCATGCTTTTGGAAGAATGTGTGAGTTGCATAAGCCAGTGCATTACGGATTCTAGCAATTGCAGATATCTAAACAAGTGAATCAATTAAAAATTGTCAGTGAGAAAATCATAACAGTTGAACTAGACATTTGCATAACAGAAGCAGCCTTGATACACTAATGATTAAATTTGATATAATGGTCTAGTGCTTAGCAAATTATTGATACCACCCACATAAAAATCCCAGCATCCTGGTTTTTGCTCAAGCAGCAAGTAATGACTATGATAGTTAGCACTAGATCACCACAACTAAAATCACATTTGCAGCCATATTTGATGTGCAATTCAAGCAAAAATTACTTGGATCTAGTATTTATATACAAACATGGGCCCATATTAAGAAATTTTCATGTTGAAAATAATGAATTTCTCTAATTCACATGGTAAAAGAGAAGTTAGAACTCACTGAATCATCCAAAAAAAGTGCAAGCATGCATTTTCATTACAATTTGGAAGTTCGAGAATAATAAATCTAAATAGCAAAGCATCTGCGGATTGAAGCAGACTCAGCTGCAGTGCATTTAATCAACAGACATCCAACATCCTCAATATATATATATAGTGGGGTTTTGAACTTCATTAGTTTTAGCATTCAAGCAAGTCTTATTGTTACTTGTAAAACCATATAAGGAAAAAATAGAAAATTAACAAGTGAAGTAATTTCATTTAGCATATGTTTGGCTAATGTTTATAAATTGTTTATTAACACTAGAGCCACTGTTTATCCACACTACCCATGAGTAGTACCCACTTATCGACCGCTCATTTCTATTATTTATAAGTTACATGCCAAACATGGCATTAATAGAATCAAAGGAGGAAATCCAATGTGAGAAATCCAGTCCTTCAGCAAAAATCCAATACGCCTTTTCCTATTAACGAAAAGGGAATTTAGTTATAGAACATATAAAGTAGAGTAAATTATCATTAATTTGAGTTTAAGCCCCTGTTTGGTACACATTAAAATTTTCATTCTCATTCTTATACTTATTTTCAACCGCGTATTCTTCAATAAAATAATATTTTCCATCACATCAACAACTCTACTATTCGAGAATACATTCTTCCAAAATAATGTGGATCAATCACACCCTAAATTTTTAAATGAACAAACTCAAGTATTCAGCTTGTTCTCAATTCTCATGTGATTTAAAGCAAACCCTACCAGAAACACTATAAATGCACGTGTAAACTATAGACAGAAACCATCAGGTATATCATATCAAATGATCAAAGCCATCAAACAGGATATTAGTTTATATGCAAGTAAAAGTTTTGCTTAAAAAATAAATAAAAATATGAGTGAACTGTAAACTAAATTTCAACTTGACCAACAAATTCTAAATTGCTTGTTTACACCCTGAACTTGAAAAATTATGTTAATCACACATATATGCCTGCTATCTGGACATCATCGAAAATCATTTCACTAACATGGAGAAAAAGATTCGTACAAATAACCACTACATTCATATGATAGAATAAACAAACATAAAAACACATTAAGAGAAAAATAGATATTCATACAGTGTTAGTCCTAGGGCGAAGATGAACGACATCTCTGAGAAACTCGAGCGTTAATTTAGTTTTAGGCAATGGATACTTCCCCGCATCTACGGGGCCAACGTTGATAACGTTTTTCACTCGTAATTCGACCTTCTGCTTCGCGCCTTCTGGAGGAACCTTAAGCTCGCCCTCCACATGTACACAGGTCCCAGTAGGCACCAAATCGCTCAACTTATGCACGCCGGCGTCGACAATCACCTGCAAATTCCCGGGGCACGACCCATCGTTAAGTTCCAAAAATGCGAAACTGCCTTTTCCCTGCTCCCTGCCGGTTTTCACCCATCCCCCAATTCGGATCGTGTGGCCTGCAAGACCAGACCCGCCGTCGGCGCGGGAAAGGATGGAGTGTATCAGGACCCGTTGGGAGAATTGGGCCTCCTGTACGGCGTCTTTCAGGGAAAGTTTATCCAATGGCGGCGGCACGGCCGAATCGAGTGACATTCTGGCAGTGATGATAGAAATGAAATGAAATGAAATGATATGTTTTTTTTTTCCCTAAACCCTAGCGTTAATTGGGGTCCTTTTTTTTATAGTGGATTATGGTAATAAATACCGTGTCAAAAACGTTATGGTACTCGCCAATGAAGGCATTCCACGTGGTAGACTGATACATGATCCTCGATCCTTGGAGGACAAGCATAAGTTTGTCTGTTTGAGCCACATAAAAATTTTATTTTTATTTTTCTACTTATTTTTAATCACATATTTTTCAATAACATAATATTTTTCATCGCATCAATCCTCTGTTTGACACCCATTTTGTTTGAAAAATAATTTTTTGAAAAATGATTGATGGAAGATTGTGTGGTTAAAAAGTAAGGAGAATTTTTGGATTTATGTGTAATATTATTTTAATAATAGAATGTGTGGTTGAAATGAAGAATGAGAAATAGAATAAGAAAAAAATGGATGTCAAACATGGGCTAACCTTTTTTTCAGCGACACATTCTCCATCAATTTATTATTTCAAAATAATGTGGCTCAAACATACCCTAAAATAATTTAATTAATTAATTAATGTTATGCTTCCTTGGAGGAGAAGCATAAGTTTGTCTTAATTAATTAATTTTTATTAACATTCATAGCCCATATATGCTATGTTTAACCCCCGTTTAGGATAATAAAGGTGTGTTTGATTTGCTATATTTTTCATAAAAATGTCATTTTTCAATTTTTGGTCATGTAATCGTATTTTCCTCAAAATCGAGGAAAACATTTTCTTAAGGAACGAGTAGTTTTTTATTTTCCAATTAATTCAATATCTCTTTTTTCTCTCTCATTTACCTATCAATAAAAAAAAGACAAATATAATATTTTATAAGTCGAAAACTAAATAAATTAAACACATTTAATTAATAAAATATATATAAATAAGTTCTAGTAAATTGAATTTCCTACAATTTATTTTTATTTCATACAAATTTAATACTCGTAATCAAACACCACATAAATTTTATAAGTCATTTTTTTCGGTAATTAGCACATAACGTCCTTAACTTTTACTGTTATTATGAAAAAACGTAATTACTTTTATTTTTTAACATTTTCACATTTTATTGTTCAAATGGACATTTTCATCAAATTTCTCAATTAAAAGCTTTGAAATGATGAATATATCATTTTATTCAAATAAAAAAAAAGAAAAAAAAGAAGCAATTGTAACAATAGTCTTGAATTCTCAAATATATTATTAAATAGATAATTAGCACATAACATCTCCATATTTCACTATTATTGTGAAAAACGTTCATACCTTTAAATTTTTTTGACACTTTTTTCCGTAATTACACATTTGATTGCTCAAACAATAATTTCTATTTACTTTCATCCAATTTCTCAATAAAAAATTTTTGAAATGAAAAATATGCTCTACTAGTTAAATAAAAAAAATAAGAAATTAGTTGCAATTATAGTCTTTTTTTTTTTAAACTGCAAACAAGTCTCCAATAAATTATGAAAAAATGAGAAATTTAAAAAAATTTAAAAGCGCAAATGAGTACCAAACAAATTATTAAAAAATTAAATTATTTTTTTAAAAAAAGGGCAAACGAGTCACAAATAATTTATTAAGAAAATAGAAATTAATTTTAAAAAAAAAGTTCAAAAGAATTCCAAATAAATTATTAAAAAAATTAAAAAGTGCAAACGAACCCCGAATATATTATTAAAAAGTTAAAAAAAATTAAAAAATAATGTTCCTTTTATTTATTTAAATATGAATGTATATACATTTCATAATTTTTTTTTGATAAATTGGATGAAAAATTATGTAAATGATTATTTGCACAATCAAATGTGTAATTATAGTTGAAAATCCAAAAAATGAAATCCATGAACTTTTCACAATAATAGTGAAGTGTAAATACATTATGTACTAATTACTCTTTAATAATTTATTTGAGATTCGTTATCACTTTTTTCTTAAAATTTGGGACTACTTTTTTTAAACGGAATGGTACATTCGTCGTTTCACAACTTTTAATTAAGAGAATGAATTAAATTAACTTTTTTAACAATGAAATGTGAAAATACTAAATTAAAAAAAAAATGTTAGGACGTTTTAACCATAATAGTGAAAAGTAAGAACATTATGTTCTAATTACCCTAATTTTTTTAAGTACGTGTAGTTGAACAATTTTAAAAAATAAATCAATTTACATATAAAATTATTTAATTAGGAAAATGAGTCATTAATAATTTTTTAGAGAATATGACTCGAACATGATTTTAATAAAATATGTTCATATTTCCCTTTATTAAAATTTTAGTAAGACGGTAATGAGGATTAAAATTAAATTTTTAATAGATTTTAATAGAAATTTTTAAAATGTTTAGTTGAAAAGATGTAAAACTCACAAAAGATGTTACTATTGATTGTTTTGACTTGATTAAAATCAGATTTTAATCTGAACCAAACAGAGGTTAATATTTTCAAATTTAGCCAATAAATCATTTTAATCAAATAAAAAAAAAGAAAAAAAAGTAGCAATTGTAACAATAGTCTTGATTTCTCAAATATATTATTAAATAGATAATTAGCACATAACATCTCCACATTTTACTATTATTGTGAAAAACGTTCATACCTTTAAATTTTTTTGACACTTTTTTCCGTAATTACACATTTGATTGCTCAAACAATCATTTCTATTTATTTTCATCCAATTTCTCAATAAAAATTTTTTGAAATGAAAAATATGCTCTACTAGTTAAATAAAAAAAATAAGAAATTAGTTGCAATTATAGTCTTTTTTTTAAACTGCAAACAAGTCTCCAATAAATTATGAAAAAATGAGAAATTAAAAAAAATTTAAAAGCGCAAATGAGTACCAAACAAATTATTAAAAAATTAAATTATTTTTTAAAAAAAAGGGCAAACGAGTCACAAATAATTTATTAAGAAAATAGAAATTAATTTTAAAAAAAAGTTCAAAAGAATTCCAAATAAATTATTAAAAAATTAAAAAGTGCAAACGAACCCCGAATATATTATTAAAAAGTTAAAAATAATGTTCCTTTTATTTATTTAAATATGAATGTATATACATTTCATAATTTTTTATTGATAAATTGGATGAAAAATTATGTAAATGATTATTTGCACAATCAAATGTGTAATTATAGTTGAAAATCCAAAAAATGAAATACATGAACTTTTCACAATAATAGTGAAGTGTAAAGACATTAGGTACTAATTACTCTTTAATAATTTATTTGAGATTCGTTATCACCTTTTTCTTAAAATTTGGGACTATGTTTACATTTAGTTTTTTTTTTTTAAACGGAATGGTACATTCGTCGTTTCACAACTTTTAATTAAGAGAATGAATTAAATTAACTTTTTTAACAATGAAATGTGAAAATACTACATTAAAAAAAAATGTTAGGACATTTTAACCATAATAGTGAGAAGTAAGAACATTATGTTCTAATTACCCTAATTTTTTTAAGTACGTGTAGTTGAAAATTTTTAAAAAACAAATCAATTTACATATAAAATTATTTAATTAGGAAAATGTGTCATTAATAATTTTTTAGAGAATATGACTCGAACATGATTTTAATAAAATATGTTCATATTTCCCTTTATTAAAATTTTAGTAATTTTAGTAAGACGGTATTTGATGAAGATTAAAATTAAATTTTTAATAGATTTTAATAGAAATTTTTGAAATGTTTAGTTGAAAAGATGTAAAACTCACAAAAGATGTTACTATTGATTGTTTTGACTTGATTAAAATCAGATTTCAATCCGAACCAAACATAGGTTAATATTTTCAAATTTAGCCAACGTTTTGAGGCCAAACTACCTTTATTCATATATTTCGTAAAATTCAAAAACACTACACACTTATTTTAAAATTCATTTCCATATATTTATAATTTAAAACATTCCCAAACATGATTTAGATTGTTCTCGTGTCCTAGTGTGGTGAATTCGAAATAAAAACTTTCATTAATTTGAACAACATTACATATCGCGTAAATGGGTGGCCAAAAATGAATTTTTGAAAAATGTGACTAAGCGTACACAAGACAAACCTCCAATATAAAGTGAATGTCACTAACTTAAGCCGTCAGATATGTTGAGAGCTACATTAGCATGTTTCTTAAGTGAATTAGATGACATTGAATTGTGTAGTAAAGGATAAAATGAACTAAAATCTCAAGGAAATCATGTCTAGTACTGCATAAACGATCTTGAAGTTCGAACCTCGGAAACATGGTCAAGGTTTCCATTTATCTCACTAAGCAAATTTCATCTTTCCCAGTTGCCCTAATTTTATATTTACCCACCAAACTGTTCAACCAGTGTAGAACTTCAACAGCATAATGCATGGACACTGGTAATTGAGCAGAGCTTATAAGATGCAGTCATGCCGTTGCACATTTTAGAATGATAACAGGAACAATTGATCACATGCTTTCAGTTTGCAGTATCAACCTCAATGTGAAACGACTCTTTTCCCCCATAGACAAGTAACATTACTGGAATATTCACCATTGTTATTCAAAAGGAAAGCCCACAGTTTTGCACAAGGACGTGTTAATGGGAAGATCACTAAAGGGAAATAGATTCTTATATCCACTTCCCCGACATAACTGCTACATATACACCAAATCCAGGAAGAAAAAGGTTAGGTAGCATGGATAACGAATTCATTTCGAAATTGATTCAACTTAAACAAAACTTTCTTTAACTTATAAAGCCATTAGATGATCAACATAATCAAAGCAAAAATATAAAACAGAAATAGAAACTTAGTCTACTAATTAACAATGCTCTTAACACATTTTTTGAAAAACAAGTAACTCAGATGGCAAATGCATTTTGCCCAATAAAAAGATACTAGCACCTTCACTTTACTTCTCTGATGAGTTTGGTCCCCTCTTCTTTCCAAAGCCAACAACTACAAGTAGCAACAAATAGCACCAGTCAAATTATATTTCTCACAAGAACCTACAGAAGTTTTGAGGTAAGTGGCACTCTTTATTTGCTTAGAATCCTTAACTATTGGGATACAAGTCACTTCTCAAGGAAAAGGTTTCAGACAACAATTTACAATGTAGCTACACAATAAATCAAGACAGCCAAACAATGTTTACCTATTACATGTGCAAAACAAATAATAGAAAATAAATTTTATTCCAGCAAGTAATGCAGAGTAAAAAACAAAACGTAGTACAGAACCCATTTGTGGATTATGATTTCACATCTAAAGCAGGATCTCATACCGTTTAACACTTGTCCAACAAATTGTTTAATCGTTATTTGAGCATCACAAATGCCAAAACTGTCAATAACCAGCTGTTAAAAAGCCAAAATTAACTTATCAATTTCCAGATTTTTTTTAATTCGTATAAATGTAAAAATGATACCGTCATATCTTAGAATAATAGGATTAATAACCTAGTTCAGTTGGTCCCTGAATTTGTAGGCATACTAGTAAACCATGCCTTAAAGTGTCAATATTTTGCTCAGTCAGTCTCTAAAATATTTCTTCTGCAGAAAATAAACATACAAGGTTGATTTGGCCAACATTGTGCTTATGAGGGGTGACATTGAATTTTAATTTCCCAATTAAATGTTCAACTTGTTTTTATTACATATTCAACGGAAATTTTAAATTTCAAAAAGAAAAAAAAATGATACTGGCATTTTACAATAATATATCTAACCAACTGAAAACAGAGAAAATAAACAGTGCAAAAGAAAAAAAATATAACACGAAAAGTAACACATCGATTAATAAACGAGGAAAAGGAAAAATGGTCTGCAGAACTAGGTTTACCGGCGGTGACGAAGCGGCGGTTGTATTGCATCCTCTTGTGAGCACGGCCACGGGGCTTCTTCTTCTTGTCCTGCTTGGCCACCTTTGGCGTTTGTCCTCTCACTTTACCGGCACGCGCCAGTGATCCATGAACCTTACCTGCAATTTTCGAATCAAATCAGAATAAATCTTTAATCAGTTCATCAACTCAACATAAAACAGTGGATTTGAAAATTTCAGCTCCGAAAATTACCCATTGTTGATTTCTGTGAGTAGAAATTTAGACAAAGAGATGCAAATGCTGGAGCGAAATTGATTCTAGGGTTAAATGTGATTTGCGTTAAAACCAGATTCGGAGTCGGTCATTTCGTATTGGGCCTAGTGGAACTAGATTGGACTACGAGACCAGTATTGGAATAATTTATTAGGTTACTCGAATAAATTTTTATTTTGTAATAATCTTTTTAAAATCTTCACCAACCTTCTTTAATTTATTAANTAAAATCTTCACCAACCTTCTTTAATTTATTAATAATATTTAATAAAACAGAAAAATCTATTCAAAAAATTACATAAACCTTCCACGATGTATTTGACGTGCATAGAAACGTTTCTTTTAATTTCAAAAATTCTAGAGATACTTTTGGAGTATTAAAATGAAAAATATAATAAATAAAATTTTAAATTCTTCATACTAAGCCCTGTTTGACAACAGTTAATTGTGAAAAACAAATTTTTGAACGGTGTAACGGTGTTATTCAGGAGAATATATGGATACAAAATAAAGAAAATTTTTGAATTTACGTACAAAATACTTTATTGTGCGACTTTATAGTTGAAAATGAGTACATAAAAAAAAGTTTGAAAATAATAATTGTCAAACATAAGCTAATGCTATCCAATCCCATGCCCAATACGCTAGTCGAAGAGGATAATACCCTGGAAACTCGGTTTCAAATGCCAAAAAGCTAGAAAAATGTAAACATCAAGATCCCATAAACCAAACGAGCTCGTTCAAGATTAGCATGTTTGGCTAAGCTTAAAAGGTACAAGTAAGTTTACTTACAAGTATATAAGTTATAAAATAAAAAAAATATTTGTCAAAGTTGAACTCCAATGACCAACATTGCCAAGGCTGTAATGACATTTTTATTGGA